ACACACACACACACACGCCCAAACAAAAACAAGTGTGACAATGTATATTTGCATGTTCTAGCGGTAGATTCATTCGATTTTGTTTTTTTTTGTCTTATTTTTAAGCTAAAAATAAAAAAAAAAAAAAATTACTAAAGTGAACCTCGAGACCCCCCCTACCAATGGCTACCATCCGTGCGGGTCAACCCCCCCCTCCTCCCCCCCATACCGGGCCCTGGCACGTTCGGACGGCGACCGTTCGTACGCCCGTACAGCCGTCTGTCCGTCCGTACACACTGGACGTACGGAAATCCCCTGTACGACGTACGGGGGACGACAATGCGTGCAACCCATTCTTAGAAATGACTTTAAAAATGGACGCACGAGCATCGCTCGCTTTCTCGACATACTTTACAAAGAAATGTCGACCTGGAGTACTTACTGTGTGGAGGAGATCAGTCTGAGAGAGAGTGTGTTCTCTTATTGGAAGGAAGTCATTAAGCACGACGACAACATTGTGAAAAAAATGGGTTGCCCAAGGAACCTATGGTGAATTTCTGGCCAGTGGTCAGGGAAGTCGAACGCGAGGAAAACCATGAGCATAACTTATAGAATGTTATGAAGAAAGAGTCTTTGCTTGCCGGTCACAAAAAATAACCGTCCAAAGACTAGTTTCGACCTTGTTGAGCATATTGAGAATAAAAGTTTCATAATCCTTCGCCCCTCCAATGACGACCTGTCGAAAGGAATGTCGATTGGGGTTCACAAAGCTCGTGCGTGACAAAAAATTGCAAGATTATAATCATGTGTTGATAGTGTATTGGATACCCACCGGGAGGGCACAGACAATCGATGAACTCTATGTCAATGCATGGGAGAAGAAATGAAAGAGTTGATAGTGTTGACGTAGTTTTTGAATAATTTTCATCGGACAATTGACCTTTACTCATCAGGCATAAGGCATTATGAGGTTTCTATAATAAGGTTCATATTCAAGATATTATGCATACAAAATGGGACGAAAATGATTTTTTTCATGCTTTTTAATTTATGGTCAATTGTACCCTCGTATTCTGTTTCAAAGTTTTTTTAGTCTTAGTTGAGTTGTCATAGCCAAAATGAGGAAAATAACAAATATATATTGTAAGATATATGCATCATGATTCATATGGAAGATAAATACTCAAACTAAAAAAAAGACAAACATATTCTGCAATAAAATAATTAGAAAAATTAATACTCAAGCGAAAAAAAAAATCAATAAGCGCATACAGAAATACAAAAGTATGTCGCATAAAAATGATAGAGAGAGAGAGAGAGAGAGAGAGAGAGAGAGAGAGAGAGAGAGAGAGAGAGAGAGAGAGAGAGAGAGTGCTCAAATGAACCATAATGTCATAGCATTGTTCCTGAATTATACCAAAACGATATATGTTATCATATACATAAATATCATACACTTACAAGTTTTTTACTTGAAATAAGTAAGGCTACGTAGATATTAGCGACAAATCGAAAAAAATTGAAGTAAGACCCCAACTGAACTTGATACTTTGGTTGTAGTCTAACTTCCCGGAAGCTGCATTTCCTTCCATTTATGGATGTTATTATAAAAGTATCAATTACATTTAGAATTTGAAATAATCTTAAATTTTAACAAATAACATGTTCCGTTTTGCGGTCTTCCACGTCGGACCCTGCGTTCTGTAAAGAGAGATGACAAACTTGATTCAAAAACAAGATCTCACGTGTGTACCCCTGCCGTTCCATTCAAAAATATGTCGAGTAGACTGTATGGAGGTTCAAAGATACTTTTTGGATTAGATAGACGTTCGAAAATTGCGCACACCCATTTCTTTTTCCGGGCGGCGATGATCATTTGTCGCTAACATTGGGACCACACGGAAGATTTCAGTTTTGTCTTTGTCTCCACACTCATTTTTTCACAAATCCTTGACGCACCTCATTCTTTTGTTCTCTCAGGGCCTTTTCCACATTTTGATCACTCCGATCTGAAAACAACACAGGGCGTGAGGTTGAAAGTCAGAGTCTGTCTGACTTTGTTTTGAGTCTGTTTTGAGTCAGTCTCATTCTGTTCTTAGTCAGGTAAACCACCGGTACTTCCTGAAGTCAGACCTCTTAACAAACCACAATTTTAGGTACGTACGGGTCAGTATAGGAGCGCCCAAATTTATCCAACTAGAAACATTTTTTCCACCTCCCATAGTTGGGCCAAGTACTTGTGGTTTAAGAGTTAGTTTGAGTCATTTTAAGCATGCTCTGAGTCTTTGTGAGTCTGTTTTAGTCTCTTTTGAGACTGTTTTAGTCTACATATTCATTGCGGTGATAATTGGTGGAAAACACCAATATGAAAATCTTTGTTGTTTTGTGTGGCCAAAATTTTTCCATTCGGCAAAAAGAGCCCATTGGATACATAGGCCACCGGATGTTGAAATGTCAACGCCGAGATTGGGGCTGGACCACTTGATGCCTTCCTACCATATCATGAACCTGGTGTTGTATCCGGGTCAAATTCATTTTTCGATTGGTCGTTTTGCCAAATGGGAAAAGTTTGGGTTAGGGAAACCAAAAAGGTTTCGGCGAGGCGGTTTCCATCAATTATTCCTCCACTGAGTTTGTCTGATTCTGTTTTTTATCTGTTTTGAGTGAGTTTTAGGTTTGTTCTGTGTAACTGTTTTTTCGAGTCTGGTTTCGGTGAAACCAGAAAGCATTTTGTAAATGAAAATCAAGCATGATTTGGACAGAGTCAGGTCGGTGCAGACATGCCCCTCTAAGAAGTGAAAAAATCACCGACTTTTGTATGCATGGGTACCTATGCAGGTGACCTAAAATGACTTGTCTGCATTGCACGACTAGGTGACCCAAGTAGCCTTAGCATCTACAATACATATTTAAAGTATTACACTGCCAATTATTCGTTGTTGCATGGACAACGGCTTTACGTGACAATATTCCTCAGCGTTGTTACAGTCTACGAGCTGTAAAATCCTAAGGAAATTTGGAAAAATAAGCATAAAGAAAAGTGAAAACGGTTATCTGAGGCTACAATCTAGTAGTCAGACAAAACCTTTTCGGATCTTTGCAGAAAGAAAATTGTGCTGAGTCATGCCCCTGTTCTTCGAGCATTTGCACCCAAGAAGCTTATGCCTACCAAACATGAGGGCATCTAACAAACCTGAATGTGTAGGACAAGGAGACATGGAAAGGATTTCAAGTGCAGATGAGATAGTTACTCCTGCCAAAAAAACAGAAAAAAAGAAAAAGGAAAAGAAAAAAGAAATGGTTACTCCTCACATTAGAAGCAAGGTTAGAAGGGCAAATTTCAAACGCAAAATATTATAGGTAACAAAAGCAGATTGCTACCGTCTTCCCCTGAAAATAATACATACGCATTCTATTCAAAATTTTCAATTTTTCAAGAACTCTAATACAATGGATATACGTTATGTTTGGTGGAAGACGGTAGACGTCGCTCCACTACTCACCGAATGCGAAAAAAAAATGAGAATGAGTATTCCTCTAGAACATAGGAAGATACACTGCTGTATTGTTTGTCTTTTTTGCATACATTGCTGTATTGTTTGGGATCATTGGTAGAAAAAGCCCATGCCAAAACCTTTTCGGTTCTGGGCGCCCGAAACTCGGCCGTTTGGTACTACCGGCCCAACCGACTTCGGCCTGGGTGATGGCGGCTTCGCGTCGTGGCCACATCTCCAAGGGGCCTTTTTTTACCAATTCAAGAATTTGGTGCTGTTTTCACGCCAGATTCATGAACCGGTAGGGCCCTTCTTTTTCAAAATACCGTACTTGGGCCTCCTTCTGTCCTTCAGGGAACCGCCCTCGGCCTCTAAGACATTGAAATGCATCTGGCTCTGCGTATGCACCAGATTCACCGTAGGGCCCTTGGAGCTATGCGTGGGCCTGTAGTACCCCACATGGAAAACATTGGGCCGGTAGTACCAAACGGCCGAGTTTCGGGCGCCCAAAACCAAAAAGGTTTTGGCATGGGCTCTTTCTACCAGTTATCCCGTGTTGTTTGGTTTTTGTGCATGCAGTGTGTATAGTAGAGCGAAGCTGGTATTACAGGGGCAGTTCGCCAGGTACCCCAAGCCATAGGGCCAATAGTATGGAAAACCAATTGCAGAGGAGCCGGTTTCCGCCCCCTCACACATATTGCAGGGGCAGTTACTTGAGCCTTTGTTAGTTTGTACGTCTCAACCAAGGGCCACACGCCCTCAGCTGCTGCTTTTTTTTTTTTTTTTTTTTTTTTTTTAAGTCCAGGGTGTTGTAGAGGCCCTCAGCTGCTAATCGTCTCTATAGACCAGTTGCGAACACGTAACTGTAACTAAAAGAGAACATAAGCTGCAACGCTGTCCCGATACATCAGAAGAGCACACAAGACAGTTATTAATTGTTAGGGGCTATTGCCTGTGGGCTGTTCGACGTCCGAAGGGGATGGTTCAGCTTTTTTTTTCTTTTTTATTTTGTTTTGGCGGGGAAATGAGTTCAACTTCGATACTTGAGCGGCCTACCGTCTTTCCCCGAACATAACGCACCCTAAAAAGGAATGTATACAAGCTATATTTCCGGCCAGATACAGCCAAAATGAGGGTGCGTTGTGTTCGGGGGAAGACGGTAGCTCACTTGGTAAGGCACCCAAGTGGCATTCAGGAGGGGTCTTGGGTTTAATAATCCCCATTTCGGCCTCATGTACCCTCCTGGGCATGCGTGATTCACGCCACCTAGACGATGCTCGGTGCGTCTGCTACCGGCTGTCCCCTGGCCGGTGTCCCCCTCCCCCCCCCATTTGGGGGTTCCCTGACGGCAATAACGCCACCCTGGGCTGAAAAGGCCACTCGGTGTCAGATTAGACACAAACCTGGGCTGGTTAGTCCGATGATAATATCTCGAGGCCATCGCCCTTCAAAAAAAAAAAAAAAAAAAAAAAAGAACACCTTCGCTACTTGAGGGTTGCGGCATGAACTCTCCCTGTATATTTATAGACACACGACCCTCCTGGTTTATCATCGAATGCACGTGCGAGGAGGTACGCAGATAGGGAGGAACATCAAGCAGCTGACCACAGAAGCGCCACGACTGAGCCACGTTCGTCCATCTTTGCTCCTCTTCTCTTCGTCTCTTTGTGCGACTCTCGTTCGCACTCCACCTGTGACCAGGATGAAGATCGCCGACGCGATGACTTTCCTCCTCTTGGCGCTCTGCGCCACGTCAGCAGTCGCAGCGGCAGCTGGCGGAGGGCATGCTTCCTCTCAGTACCTCAGGCATACCGGTGATCTGCGAGAGCTGATTAAGGCGGAAGGCGGGTCGGTGAGTAGCTGGGGAGGGGCTCTGGAGGAGTTCCCCAATGCCTCCTTGGGCGCAGGAATGGTAACGTTGGAGGGGGGCTTCATGATGCTGCCCGAGTACTCCGACTGCCATTACCTTCTCTACGTGCTTGAAGGTTCCGCCCACGTGGGACTGATGTCTCCTGTCGGGTTTCCATCCAATGCCAGGAGGATCGAGCAAGGGGATGTGTTCGCGATTCCCCGAGGCTGGGTGAGTTGGGCCGTCAACTGCGGAAGCTCTCGGCTGCGGGCGTTCGCGGCGTGGGACACGTCGGAGGGCCATGCACGTGGCGAGTGCATGCACTTCCATCTGGCGGGCTCGTCGTCGACCTCCACTGCAGCAGCGGAGCACCAGAAGGACACGGGTTCGATTCTTCGCGGATTCAGCAAGGATCTGCTGGCCAAAGCGTGGAACGTGGACGTCGGCCACGTGGAGCGGCTGCTGCGGTCCCAGCACGGGAGCGCCATTGTAAAACTTCCTTCTCGCTCAGTGACCAGCCCCGCCACGTGTCACAACGTGGTCAATCAGGCCGCTCAGTCATGGACGACAACATCGACAATCAGTCAGCTGGCGATGGCGGTGGGCATGGGATTGAACGATGACGTCAACGGAGAGCGAGGGGCATCCTCAACGTCCGGTCTCTTGCCGCTTTCCGGTGGCGAGTTCGTGTACGAGCTGGACAGATCGTCTGCAGATGTGGCAAACAAGGGCGGGAAGCTTTGGTTGCTGAATGCGCACCGAATGCCAGTGCTGCGTCAGCTGGGAATGGGCGCGTACAGACTGTTCTTGCAGCCAGGCGCGGTGGTGGGCCCGGTGTGGTCAGTGAACGCGCACCACATCGTGTACATTATCAGAGGAAAGGGGCGCGTGCAGATCGCGGGTCCGGACGGGCGCAACGAGCTGGACGCGGAGGTGCGCGCAGGACAGGTGGTGGCGATCCCGCGCTTCTTCGCGGCGTTGAAGGTGGCGTCGGAGGAGCCGTTAGAAATCATCTCGGTGACGTCGTCGTCGATGCCCTTGTCGTCCTTCCTCTCCGGATCGACTTCCCTGCTGAAGAACATGCCGTTGGATGTGGTCACCCACGCGTTCAACGTCCACAGGGAGCTGGAGGAGAAGTTTAGGGAGAAGAGGAGGGAGGTGACCGCCATCCTGCCGCAATCGCAGTCGGAGAGTCAGGAAGTGTCGTCCGGTTCGACTTCCCTTTTGTAGGAGATGCCTGTCGACAGGCGGCAACCGAGGCGTTCAACATCATCAGGGAGAAGTGGGCGTAGATTGCCCCCTTTATGTCGCAATCGGCATCGGGATCGGGTCTTGCAACGGGATCGGGTCTGTTGGAGTGTTCGAAGTAATGTACAACGGCGATTTGAAATTGAATCCCGAGATCGACATCAATCTCCAGTTGAGGATAAGTGGTTTTGGTATTTGAAGAAGTTAATGGTCGTAGAAGTGGGCGTACATTGGCCCCATTCCGTGGCAATCGCCATCGGGATTGGGTCTGTTAGAGTGTTCGAAGTAATATACAACGGCCATTTGAAATTGAATCCCGAGATGGACATCAATCTCGAGTTGAGGATGAGAGGTTTTGGTAATTTGAGAAAGTTAATGGCCGTAGATATCATCCCGTTTCTGCCGCAATCTGCGTGTCAGAAGATTGTTTAGAACGACGTGTCAGAAGAGAAGAGTGTTTTAAAAGCATAGGCACAGTTAGCTGCGTGTGGAGAACAGCCGGCGCATCGTGAATTGCAGAGTGAGTATCATTGGGCCAGGTAGAGCTGCTAAGCTAGTAGTAGTCTGAGAGATCGCAGGAAGCGAGCTGTTATGCGCAGTGCTGAGAGTAATCAACACGTTTTTCAAAGGACATCAACTCCTGGCGGCAGAAATGCGCACGCAAATTAGTATACGACACGTGTAGAGAGCAATTGACTGTGACCAGGGGGTTGATTAGTCCCTTTGCACGGAGGAGGGGGTTTGATAAGTCCCTTTGCATGGAGGAGGGGGTTTGATTACTCCCTGTGCAAGGTGGAGGGGGTTTGATTAGTCCCTTTGCACGGAGGAGGGGGCAGGAGGGGGTTTGATTAGTCCCCGTGCACGGAGGAGGGGGTTTGATTAGTCCTAGTGCACGGAGGAGGAGGGGGTTCTTTTAGTGCCAGTGCAAACGGAAACGAGTACTTCACCACGTGGCTGGAAATCGGAGACGTACTCGGTGGGAGGGAGTTGGCATGTGTGCGGAGGCGACGATGTGTCGTGGAATTGAACACGTTGTTGGTGTTAGCACCAGGATTGCAACATGAGAATCTTGAAACACCTCTGATGTTACGTCTGCTTGTCTGTTGAGGTCTTAACGACACTTCTGATTTGAGGTTGGGAAGTGACAATGTGTGACGATGAATGTATGTCTTTTTTCTGATGTAGGCTGATATACTGACCGGGCACCGCTGCACCCCTCACCAAATGTGAGTAATATAAAGATAAAGATATGACGCATGTATTTCAAAGTTCAGCGGAAAATGCGTTCTCATTTTGCACATTTGGTGAGTTGTGAGGCGAGGACCCGCATTCGTCGCTCAGTGAAGTAAAGTGTTACCTTTGCTGCGAAATGGTGTTAAAAAAAAAAGAAGAGCACAAAAAAAAGAGCGGAAAAAAGAAGCCAAAACCCGATAGAGTCTTTCGGGGTATTAATTGGAACGCTACGAAAGGGGTGTAGCTCAGTTGTGTCACACCCACAAACTGTTAAAATACAGACCAAGGATCACCAAAGTGCATTATTATTCTTTTTTTTTTTTTTTTTTTTTTTTTTTTTTTTTTTTT